AAAAGAATGAACCATCATAGGAAAGGATGATATTGGTATAAGATGTAACTGCATGATCGATAGAAAACTAAATTCAGTTTCAATTGAAGAAGCTTCATAAATCAATGTGAAAGGAATAAAGTATTCAACAAGCAATTCTGAGAAAAATTCACCTTGTACCATAAACTAAAAATAAAAAGCAACAAAAATAAGTTTTAAAATCGAACTTATTTAACTATATACAATGCAAAACTTTTCAGGTAAAGATAAGTAAAAGGCAAATGAAAAGGTTTGTAGCAAATCCCCCAGAATGCTAATACATTCAGGATACAAAAAACTTGTTTCAGTTAATAAAAAAGATGAACCCTTTCATAGAAAAATAGCAAAGAACATAAACAGAAAATGGAAAGAAACTATCATTTATATTTATGTTTATGTTTATATTTATATTTATGTTTATGTTTAGTGACAAAAAAATGTGTACACATTTTAAGAAGGGAAAACTGTATTAAAATTGTAATACTAAAGATATACAGATAACAAAAGATGAATGCAACTGATGTTTGACTTCTGCTATTACAGAGGTGCTCAAAGTGGTTACCATTAGCGTCCAGACAGTTCTAATTATGGCGAACTATGTAATGCTTGAGCAATGTTGACCAAAGTGTCCATTTGTATACATTTTTGGGGGGCACCCTCGGTATATATATTTACATATATATATATATATATATATATATATGTAAAAAGATTTCAATTTCACTAGTAATCAAAGAATGCAATTTAATGCAGTTGGAGGATTTGTCACCCAGCAAATGAGAAAAGGTCATTGTAAGTAGAGCAGGTAACACCAATGAGGTGCAGCGAGAAAGGCACTCTTATCCACTGCTGGTGGGGGTGTAAAGTGCACAAAAAATTTATAGAATGCAACTTGGCATTTTAGAAATGTTTTTCTGTATTGTCTGAAGTTTCTGCCATGGCCTTTTTATTTTAAAAATACTTTCATTAAAAAGTAAAATTTAACAGCTTTTCAAGACAACAGTGCATGAAGGCAGGGACGTCTGTGGGCCAATTCAGATGCTTTTCGTTATCTGCTCTGATTCCAAACTTAATCCTTTGTGTATTAACACACACACATGAATTCTTCTGAGTAGAAACGGTGGCTTTCTGTTATCTGGGCTTTTATTACTGACGTCAGAGAATTCTCAGGCTCTCTGTCTGCAGTTTCTCAAAGTTCATTATCTAAACAGCACCTTTAACTGTATTTCTGAGGAGGTGTTCTTTCTCTAGTGCACGTGCTCTGCCAGTGTTTGCTGTGGCTGCTACGTGACAGTGGTGTCTTCCTTTCTTGTCTGCACGCCCTCTCTCCCACAACAGACTGAATTCTCTACCTGTGCTCTTCAGAATGAGGAAAATGAGCCACCCGCCTTGTACAGAAAGTTTAATAGGCACTAATAATGACTAGTAATAAACTCAATCCAGAAAATTTTTTTATTTGACAACTGAAAATCTTAAAGTCACTAGAACTTATTTTAAAATTCAAATTAATGTCCATATTTTAGTTGCAGAAAAGTATGATAGGATGATCAATGTTAGAAATTCAGCCATAAAAATGTAACACATTAGGGTAAAATGCTGCAGTGAAATGGAATGAAATGTGAACTCAAGGAAAAATAGGAATGATTAAAAAATTTTCCAAGTGTTAAAGGACATCTTGTATTTCTTACAAGGATGAGGGTGGCTATTAAGTTACTATAGTATGTATTTAGATTTAATGAAATAGATTTAAGAGTAATGTAACAACATGTCAAAATTTCAATTTTACAATATGCCAGAAATTACATTTTTTTTTGCAACTATTGTATTTTTTTTTTTAGTGAAAAACTTTAGATGCCAACCCAAAAATGTGTTGAAGGAACATATTGTTTTTTACACTTCTGGTAGGGGGTAAATGAGCAAAACTATTTGAAAGCCATTAATGTAGAGAATTCTCATTGCTTATTCTCAGCCTATAAAATGACTCTTTACATGGAAAGTAAGGATTGAAGGGGAAAAAAAGGCTCCAGAGCTAAGGTCTGGGGTCTCCTAAGAGTTAGTCTTCCTATTGTAGTTTTCTCCCAACAAGGGGGTAAAGAGTATTAGAGAGAGGAGGACACAGAAGTAACCCTAATTAAAGAAATAATGGATGTGGAAACACTTGCCAAATGCTTGGGACACAGTAGGTGCTCATTAATGACAAGCCAATTAAGACTAAAGCTGCCAAACCCAAGAAGGAGCTGTTAAGAAGTAAAGGATGCCCTACTATTATAAGATGTATTTAATTAAGTGGGTTTACATCCCCAAAGGTAATCATTACATTTATTCATAGTTTACCTATAATGTTACTAGGTATTTTTAAATTTCTTCTGTTATTTGTTTAAGGCAGAGATTAACAAACTTTTTCTGCAAAGGGCTAGATAGTAAATGTTTTCGGCTCTGTGTGCCATATTGGGTGTTTTACAACTACTCAACTCTGCCATTGTAGAGAGAAAGAAGCCACAGATATTCCATAAACAAGTGGATGGGTTTGTGTGCCAGTAAAACTTTATGAACACTTAAATTTGAGTTTCCTGTCATTTTTATGGGTCATGAAATACCCTTTTAATTTTTTCAACCACTTGAAAATGTAAAACCATTCTTTGATTGCAGAATGTACACAACAGGCGATGGGCCATCTTTGGCCTGTAGACAAGGGTTTGCCAAATGCTGGTTTAAGGTATAGTGTTTAAGGGCCCTTTATGCTAAGAGTGGGCAGAGTATCTGGAAGGGTACACAAGAAACCGGTCATCGTAGTTGTATTCTGGGAGGTGAAATGGGTGATAGAGTTGGAAGAAAGACTTATTTTTCATTTGCTTAAATTGCTTACCATTTTAAAAATTAAAGAGTCCTCTTTTCTTTAAACTCCTTCAGGAATCATAAGCCCAGCAAACCCGATTTGAGCAGGTTGACCTTGCTTTCCATCCGAATTCCGGAGGGCTCTGCTGCCAGCTAATCAGGAGAACCCACATAGTGGGTCTCCAGCCAGGGGTAATAACCCAAATGAGACAGAATGAAGGGAACTGAACTTTCATTTGGGTGAGAGCAATAAAGTCTGTCCTCTGTGCCAGTAGGAGCGTGAAATTCTTATCTTGTGCCATTTCTCTAGGAAGAGCATGCCAAGTGTCAGGGAATTTGGCAGAACTAAGCAGGAGAAACAGTCCATACTGATCATTTAACTGAGCCAACATTTCTTGAGCACCTACTGTATGCCAGGCACTTGAAGTGAAGGTGCCAAGTTTGTACGAACATATAGAGAAAAATACGTACATTATAAAAATCCAAACTGAAGATGATTATACCTGGGAAATATCAGAGAGCTGTAATGAGTGGCAGGAGTATAGTGGAGGTTGATGAACATGGTGAAGGTTAAAAAGGTAAAATGTGAGAAAGAGCACACAGAGGGAAACCTGAGATAAGTCACAGAGCTGAAATCTATGTTTTTAAAGACCAGAACTAATGGGTTTCAAATTACAGGGTATGTTTGGATATTAGGAAAAATTCCCGACTATGTACATTGTGGGGTCCTGGAAATTATTTTTAAGGAACACTGTGGAATTTCCTATTCCAAAGATAGGAGCAATTCTATCTTTGAATGATAGAATGCCTGAATCTACCTCAGAATGATAGCTGCCTGAATTGGGGGAAGGGGAGCTTTTCAACTCATTTATTACACAATATTCAGACACATATACACCATTATCATACATAATTTATATATACATATATACACATTGACTATACTGGGGGTGCCCAAAAAATATATACACACGACTTGTACTCATCTTTTGTTATCAGTATATATTGAATATTACAATTTTAATACAGTTTTTCCCTTTCTTAAAATGCATGTACTTTTTTTGGCACCCTCTGTATATAATTATGTATATAATATATAATTATATACATAATTATATACATAATTTTATATATAATTCATATACACATACTGAAGCTTGAATTTCCTAAGTCCTCAAATAGCTTGTGAATATGAATGAGGCCCCATTAACAGCAAGGTCTCAGCTTTTACTGGCTTGTTCCTCAGGACCTCCAGCTCCCTACCAGAGGCTCCCTCCCCCCAAGTATTTTAGGAGTCCCTTAGGATCTACTCATGTTTGTTCACAATCAAATCTGCTCTAGCCACTACTTCCACTACTTTTTATGTCCACTGGGGCAAACAATGCCCAACCAGTGTCCCAGTTCCTCTGCTAGGTACTTCTCCATGGGTTATGGTCTGTGACTGCTGTTTCACAGATGCCCCAGAAGGTTCCTGAGTCTTCTTGGGGTCAAAGTTCCATAGTGACAGGGAATTTGCATATCACTGTGGAGTTGAAAGCTCTCTCCTATTTGTTGCATTCTGTTAGAAGCTTCTACCTTATACTTCAATGTTTCCAAGCTTCATTTTAATTTACAATCTTCTCTCTTGTCACATCAGGGTGGCCGGAAGGCCTCTTGAATCTAGTACAGTCGTATCAAACACTGTGCTACAATGAGAATTACACGTTTCTCTATTGACTGTGGCTTTGCTTCGGGGTGAAGTTCATGGTTCTTGGCTCCCTCTGATGTTAGAATGAGTTTCCCCCCAACAAGCCTCTTGGCTTACTGGACAGGAGAATTTGGTAGGACCACGCCATGCCACCGATTCACCAGATGGGTCCAGATATGTCTGCATTCCCACAGTGGACACCATTTCTATCCTTTCACAGGAGGCTCACTCTCTTGTTCTAAATGTTTCAACCTCTGTGGTATCTTCTCATCACTTCAGATGTGCCCTAGTATTGCCTGTATTTGCAAACCGCCCTTGAAACCACATCCTTCCTCAACTACTCATTATCTTGCTTCCTTTTCACATCCCACCTCTCTATTAGAGCATCCTAAACTTTGCTTCATTAACAGCTTCCATGACACTATGTAATTATCTGCATATTTGTGTGATTATTTTTTAGTGTCTCTATTCCTCATGAAGCTTGATGTCATAGATCATGGATGCTTTTTCCCTTCATCATTTTATCTCCAAAGATCCAGCCCAGTGCTTAGGGCAGAATAAGTCCTCTGTAAACATTTTCTGAAAGCATGAATAAATGAATAAATGCAGCATGTGTTGTGTGGTGGATTACCTTTCCAGAAGGCAAATGGATCTGCTACTTGCTTCTGCTTGAACTGGCCATTTTGCTGAGTGATAGAGAAGAAAGAGACAGAGACATAGATAGTAAGTAGGAAACTTCTAATGAAATAAATATTAGTCCATCAAAAACCCTATGTTCTCTTCCTGAGTAGCACATATAAGTATTTATTTGTAAAAAAAGTGGTTTTTTTTGTGGAGGCAGGGTAAAAACTTTTGAAAATTACCCTCAGAAAACAGCATTGGAAAAGAGGTCCTTATAGCACACATTTTCATGATGTGTATGACCTTTCAAATTGCTTCTTCTGGGAGGTAGAAGACATAGTGAAAGGGAGGAAGGAAGGAAGGAAGGAAGGAAGGAAGGAAGGAAGGAAGGAAGGAAGGAAGGAAGGGAGGGAGGAAGCACGGGAGGGAAGGAGGGTACTAGGGAAGGGGGGAAAGAAAGAACGACTCAGAGATATAACTAAAAGAGAACACTGCCTCTCTTGGGTTCTTGGATTAGTTCTGGACATCTTAGGATGAAACTTCAGACATTTTGGTGAGATTTACCATTATTTTTCTTTTTATCCTAGATAAATATATGACCAAGGTAGACCATGAGAATGAAAATGCAACCCCCTGAAATTCTCTCTAAAAGGCACAGATAAAGATCCGTTTTCTGAATTTTTGATTTGCTGACATAGTGCCTACTCAAGAAAATTCCAGCAGGAGTGGTCTTAAATCACTTTCATGTCTTTACGAAGACCGATTCAACTTTCCACTAAAATTTAAGATAATAAATCATTGATTCATCTTATTTTAAGTCAAGACCTTTATATTTGTTTCTGTTTTTTCTACATTTTAAAACAAATAAATACAACCAAAATTTCATCATGGCTTGTTGAAATCGCCCAAGTGTTGAAGTTGAAATGAGAACGTATGGTGGTTTCCCTGATTAATTAGAGTATCTCTTCTGAAAGTACATGTCCTAGACACTTGCAAGTCCAAATGAGGTGTAGGATGAGAAATATTGAGAACAGATATGTACAGAAAGGCTTTGGCAAAATGTCTACAAAGGGAGCCATTTACTGTTTTGTAAATTAGCTTGCTCTTTCCCTCACTCTTTATTTTAACTGTCTCCCCCCCCCATCTCCCACAAACTTTCTATTTATTTATTTGCCTTTCAGGGTTTTGTTTTTGGTTTTGGTTTTTTGAAGACCACCATAACGAACGTACATTCTCAAATAGAAAAGTTTGGATGGGATCAAAAATGAATCTCATCGAACACTCCCACTTACCTGCCACGGATGAGTTTTCTCTTTCTGACAATTTATTTGGTAAGTTGTCAAGTTCATTTAAATATAAATAAAACAAATACAATTTGGAAATATGTGAGAAAAAATCTTAGATGATGAGTGCAACAGTAAGTCCAGAAAACATTTTTGTTACAAGTACTCAATAAACATTAGCTATTATGCACGTTTAGAGGTTGATCGAAACTTGGATTCATTGAACCTACTAACGGTCTTTATATATCTATAGATATGTGTGTGTGTGTGTGTGTGTGTGTGTGTGTGTGTGTGTGTGTGTNTATATATATATATATATATATATATATATAGTATGAAGACAGCAAGACTCAGAGAGCTTTGTGACTTGTCCAAGGCCATGAGGCTAGATAATTAACAGAGCTGGGAGTAGAAACAGATTCCTGCTCTAGGGCTAATTCTGATGTTATTAAAGCATGTACTAAAGTATGAAATCATGATTCTTATGGTTTAATATTATACCATAAAAGGCTGAGGTTATTTAGGTTATAGCTCTGCAGCAGGTTTTCTGTCTACCATTCTTCCAGTGCTGGGGGATATATGGCACAGTGTCAAGATTAGTCATTTAAATTGGATTGCGAACAAATTGTACTAAGTTGTTTTCAGTAGATATGTAACTAGATGATACCATAAAATGATATATTGCTCCACTTTATGCATTTATGAAAAAAAAGTCGGTATAAAGAATTTCAATTGGGAACATCAACAGAATCAGTAGGGGTAATTTTGGGTGGGACAGGAAAGCTTTGTGCCACTCTTAAAATAATTCCCCTCTGCCTAACAGCCCTGCTAAGAAAGGTTAAACGCTCCCAGTTTTTCACTTGACACTAACATATGGACCATGATAGACTATGACAGTGAAAATGCAAACACTTGAAATTCCATAAAAGTCAGTGTTTGAAGGCATGATCCCCTATTTGGTTGCAGACATCCCTGGGAGGTATTATAATAATTAATAGCTTATGCTATTGCCTATCAGTCATTAGCATTTTAATGTGTAATGGTTTATCAGGTCATTTCCTGATAATCGTTATTTGTATTATCTCTTTACTCGTCTACCTTCCCCCCCATACAGTATAAGAGCCTATAAGGGCAGGGATAATATTTTATTAATCCTAGTATGCACTTGATAAATAAGAATCAAGTCATAAATAATAGAAAGGAAGGAGAAAAGAGGTTAAGGAAAACAAGAGATGTTTATCAGTAACTCTCAGAGAGACCAAAGGCAGCAGTAATTATTTATGAAATACCAGTTCTCAGACATACTTGCTGCATCTTATTTCTTCCACTTGGCTTTTCTTCATCCTGTGGATGCATTCAAGGCCAGCAGGTCCTACCTCCATGTCCAGCTACTCGGCCATTTGCTTCTGGCCTATCCTTCTACAAGTCTTTAACACAATCAGTGTACAAGCACCTTTATCATTTTTGCCCCACCAATCGGAATGCACAGGATAATTAGCACTGTAGGTGCATGTCATAGACTAAGGAAAATTCCATGTAAGATTATGTTTTTCACATAAAAGCTTCATTTCCTGCTCTGAAATTTTATGATTGCATGTTAAGATCTCCAAGTAAGCACATCAGGTTGAAGGTTGACCTCAGCAGCCATGAGGTGAAAAGATGTGAGTAGACAGAGAAACAGTTGTGCAGGTGCTGATGAGTGGGAAGCAACTGAAAGCGATTGCTAAGGAAGCACTGGGACTCATGCTTTCAGTGTTGCTTTTCTCTCATCTCTCCTTTGCTCTACCACCTTCTTATCCAGTTTCCTAACACATCACTTAAGGTTTCTGAGACTATATAGCATAAGATGCATAAGCTACAATGTTTGGCTGGTATCCCTGACTGGAGTAGTTTTCTCAAATCTTCATCTGGTCTCCTGTTCTGGTGAATTAACCTGAATCACGTGTGACCCCTGGGAATCCATTTTTCCCCCCATGAAAGTTTAGAGCCAGGTCTAGGCATTTTTCCACATCTCTTCCCCCAGGGCCTTGGTCTCTTACCTGAGTTAAAGGTACGTCAGGGTAAGGGTGAAGACTTGCACTTTGATTCCTTTCCTCCTGCTCATCTTCTTTTGGGTCCTGATGACACTGATGAATTCTATGGAGTTCCCACCCTGAGCTTAGGGTACAGAGCACCAGGGAAAAGACAACAAACAGCCCACAGATGAGTAGCCCACAGTGCCTAACTCACTGCTCCTGGATCTTGATATATGCCAGAGATTCAGAAGTGTTAACTCATGGGCTCAACCAGCCAGAGAGCTGGACTCTTTTCCAATGGCCTAACTGTGTCATCAAAAGTAGCAGTCATGTTGTTACAACAAAGGCAAGTGAAGTTTATGGTACAGCATATGGATAGTTATCATTTCTTCCATCTAAATGCTGAGCGTTATATGCTGGGCATTGTGATAAAGCAGGGAATAAGAGAGGCAAGCTCCTGGTGGAGGCTAGACTCACAGGAAACACGCAAATAAATAAACAAGATCATATCAGGTAATGAATGGTAAGTGCTGTGAAAACAACAAACCAGGGTGACGTCATAGTGATTGGAAGAATGGGGCTGCTCTAAATGGTGTGGTCAGAAAAGGGCTCTGGGGAGTTAGCAATTGAGCTGATACCAAAAGACAAGCCCAGGAGAACATTCTAGGTGGAGACAATAGAAAATGCAAAGGGCCAAAATCTAGAATGGACTCGGAAGGGCCTTGACTTCTCATTTTTATTTAGGGCAGTCAAAAGAGTCTCGAAACTGACCTCCCGAATGGGGCCTTTCAGCTGTCCTGGAGGCGGCTGTGAATCCCTCACTCACCAAGGCCTTTGCTTAAGCTGAAAGGGAAACATCCCCACCTTTTCATGGTTACCCTGAAAAGCAGAGCCCGAAGCCAGGACTTGCGTGCAGGCGGTTTATGTGGGAGAGTTTTCCAGGGAGAAGAGGCAGAGGGCTGGGGCTATGAGACAGGGAAGGAGGGAAAACCGCCACAAGATGAGTGATGAAGATCTCTGCTGTGGCCAAGGGGAGCTTGATTCCACCGGGAGTAACATAGATAGCAAACTGTCCACTGAGGGACCGGGGACTGGGGTCATTACTAAGTGACCTCTGGCGCCTGTTGGTGGAGGGTTGCCCCTAGCGACATTAACTTCTGGGCTGTGTGTCTGCCACCCCCAGTGGAACCAGGCCAGGTGGTCCCCAGTGGTATTGGAGAAGTTCTGGGCAGAAAGCCAAAAGATGGGTGATGATGGGTGATGTGCTCTCGAGATGACAGGCTGTGAGCACGAGGGGAGTCGAGACACATATAATCACCTGCTTCAGCTACAGCTGAAATGAGAAGTGTGCTAAAGGATGTGACACCAGAGGGGTCTGTCACGCAGTAGAAATGTAATTCCCCCCCAGCCCCCAAATCAATTGGGATAATCAAAGGAAGGCTAACATTTGGGAGAGGGGGTACAAGTTTGCTCTGTAGTTCTGTTTTCTTAGGCTGGTCCTTACAGAAAAGAAGGAAAGATGCTTGGACAGAGTGGAATTATAAAACTGGGGCTGGAATCACCTTGTGAGGTCCCTTATTTATCCTGCTGCCACACATCCCTGACAAATCCAGATGGGAATCTAGCTCATCAGTAACTCAATCCACAACACAGGACTCAGAATGGAAGGACATGGTGACCTAACAGAAAGATACATCTCCTTTCCTTTGGGAGATCCTGTGAGCCAGGAAACTTGGTCAAAGATTAATTTAGTGGATTAAGAAAGGCTTCTCTGATGAATAAAGAAGGCAGGATCTTCAGGCAATTAGTGCATAATAAAAAGTAATAAAGACAAAGTCCACAGCCTCCCATGGTTTGACACAGTGAATTGGGTAGGAGGTGGCATGTTAGTTAAAATCTATGTATTCTTTTAGCAAATTGTGGTTTAAGAACTAAAAAAAAAAAAAAATCACAGAATTTCAGACAAAGTAACTAGAAAACCATTCTAATAATAGCATCGAATGAGCAATTGAAGGTGCAGTCTTATGTTCCCTTACCAAATGTCCCCTGTGCAGTGAGTCCAGCTCACTTAGCTCAGTGATACTGAGAGAAGTTCACTGAATGTGAGTGGAAAGAAGCAATAAAATGAAAGAAATAAAGTCTCAGAAGCAACTGAGAGTCTCTGAACTTCAGTTTTCTCCCCGATAAAATAGGGATAATAATGACATTCATGTCACAGCTTTTTGGGAGGACTGAATGGCTGTGTGGGAAAGTGTTCGGTAAACTTCAAGGCATCGCAGAACAGTATAATTAGTCCAGGGCTTGATATGTAGTTGTTATGATTTAAATTGCTGAAATGATAAACACCACTCTGCTCATTAAAGGGAGGAAGTTCTGTTTATCTTAACATTGTTGAGTGCAAAGAATTTTCAAGGAGCCAACAAAGACTAACAGTATAGAAATAAATTCCTGGGTGTCCTAAGGAAGGAAACACATGTTCTATCTCATGTCTGCATTACAGCATTGCTACCAACAGCTACTAAGTCCATGGTTTTATATTATTTTTATTATTGTAGCTGTCTTTCCAAAGCCCTATTCTAAATGAGACCCAGCAAGTGGCAGGAGGCATATTCTATATTATCCTATTCACTCATATCCCATTTCTCTTAGCTATTTTTCATTCCTTTATGCTTCTGTCAGCTCTTTATGCCAGTTTTCTCTGGGTAGCTCTATTTTTATTGGAATCTGGTTCTTGCCTATGTCTTTTGCTTCAATTAAAAGAATCTTTCCAGTGTTACAGAAGCAGCCAGATGTTTTAAAATACAATTAAAAGTCTTGAGATGCAGTTTTGTGGAATACTTCTGACATTTGATTTCAGGCATTTTTTTCATTTCACCGAATTTAACTCAAGTGAAAGTAGTTCTGAGTTCATGGGTGAATCAAAGCTGAAAGTTTCCAGAAGATGGACAGATACCATGGGCTTGGAAAAAAACGGAGCTTTGTTTGAGCATAATTTAAATATTTTGTCACTATTGTTTCTCATCCGCAACTCTTCCACAAATTTAAGCAGTCTCTCAGATTTGTATTAATTCACCATGGTTTTGGATTTTGCTCCCTCAGGAATCTCAGATCTGGTACTCTTGTTAGTGGAGTTAAAAATGGTAGAAAGAAAAGAAATAGCAAAAGAGCCTTTCCTTATTATAAAATATACTACTGCCTGTTTTAGATAGGAAATGCATAGTTTGGAAAAGGCATGCAGTTGGACAAAGAATTACAGACAAGTTAGCCAGCTGGTGGGTGAATCCATTGCCATCCAGGGCTGGGCTCTCGACCTCTCAAACTGGGAAACAGATCTCAGGGACACTCAGAATCACCAAGCTGAGAAAGCGTGGTTGTAAAATCAGATAGAAAATTTACACAATTACCATGATAAAAAGAATTGTGATAATGATAACAGCTGCCATTTCTTGAGTGCTTTCTACATTTCAGGCATCATGCTTAGTACATTTGAGATTTATTAGCACACAGGCTTCCTGCATTCAGTCCCATCTCTGCCATGTACTTGTATGTGGTTTTAGGCAAATTCCTTAAGTTAGTGCAAGTTACTTGCCTTATTTAATAAAGTTCTCAGGAGAATGCCTGGCACATCATAAGTACTCTATAACTAGTTGCCATTAAGAGTAATTTTCACAACATTCCTATAAGTAGATACCATTACTATTTCCCTTTTACTGGTGAGAAAAATGGAGATTTTAAGGTGTTAAATAGCCTGTTGAAGGTTCTATCAGAGTAAGTGGTCAACCAAAATATAATCAGGACAAGGAATTAGAATTGAATGATTAGCTCCTGTTTACCTCAGGGGAGAAAGTGTTTTCCAATGAGATTGTGTCATACCAAGTCTGTTGGCCAAATCTTGTCTCAAGGATAGTCTCAGACAAGCATTGCCAACGTTTACTCTGGGACTTCCCTTCTTTCATGGCTTCATAGCTGCTGCCCCCACTTGTCACGATTGGTGTATCGTTCACCTTGCTCCCAATAGAACTTTCTGTGATGATGAAAATGTTTTAGATCTACTTAGTTCAATGCAGTAGCCACTACCTACGTGTGGCTATTGAACACTTAAAATGTGACTAGTGTAACTACGATATTGATTGTCATTTAATTTCATTTATATTAAATTTAAATTTAAGTAGCCATATATGGCTAGTGGGTTCTGTTTCAGAGAGCACAGACCTGCAGGGGGAAAATGTAGTTTCAGGAAAACGACATGAGGCAGTTGGTCATCACTGAGAGAGAGAAGCAAAGGGATCCACTCAGTCTTATTATGGAAATATCTTGTGTGAATTTCATTCATCAGTGAGGGTTTCTTAGATCAGCTAAATTATCCTGCTCATTTCCGTTTTAGTGTAGAAGTTTCTGAAGGAAAGAGCGAGGCCCATTTGTTTGACCAGTGAAAAACTCAGTAGACAATTCTTGAAGTAGACATTTCAGAGGGGGTTTGTCCTGGTTCACATCCTTTGGGTAGCTCTTGCACCTACGATCCTTTCAAGGCAGGGATAATTCTTGCGCTGTGAGGAGAGGGCAATGAGGTCAGAAGTAAACTGAGGATTAAGAACAGCTTTGCACATGGTAACCCTAGACTGAGCAATCCACACTGAAATATACCCACAAACCATTACTGTTTTCTTCTTTCTTGGCAATTAGGGCAGGTGTGCTTTAGTTTTTCCGCCACGGGGTTTTGAGTCAAGACCTTGGTGAAAGTCCTAGTTTTATCCCTTAATAACTGGGTGACTTTAGACAAATCGCTTAACTTCACCGAGTTGCCTTTCTGAGTCTGTAAAATAGGGCAGGAGACAGTGGGCATCATAAATAATCTCTTCCTCAAAGGGTGCAAGTAAGGACCCGATGAGATAATGCATGTGGGACCACTGTGTAAACTTGTAAAGGCTATAGAAACATCTTAGCAATGATTATTACTTTTATATAGATCACGTTTACCTTTTAAAAGTGCTTTCATATTTATTATGACATTTTATCTTCACAACAGGTCTATGAGGGAAGTAGGGCAGGAATTATCTATGTTTTACCATCTGCTGTTGTAGACAGATGAAGCCCGCAGAAGCTGAGAGATTGGCCTAAAGTTATATAGTGCATCTCGTTGCATTATTGCCTGAGCTCAACTCTGGACCTACTGAGTCCTATTCTAAAGCCCTCTATTCCAAAAAAACAACCAACAGTCACAAGCTTGATATCCGCAAGTTATGCTGCAGAAGTTATTCCTACTCAATAAGCAAGTCACCCTCCAGCATGAGTCCAAAGCTGAATAATCATAACACCAATATAGTGATGGTGGGTAGTGACCCACTGTACCAAAAAGTTTTATAAATATTATTTCATTGAATCCTCATAATAATTCTATGAGGTTGTGTGATTATCAGCCCCATTTTACAGATGAGGAAATTGAGGCAGAAAATGGTTCAGGAATCTGTCCATGGTCCACAAGACTAGTGAGGGCCAAGGGAGCCTGGATGTACTAGTTTGCTGAGGCTGCTGTGATGCAGTGCCACAGGCTGGGTGGCTTAAACAATAGAAATGCATTATTTCATCATACTGGAGGTGAGAAATCCAACATCACCTCTTGGCAGGGTTGGTTTCTTCAGAAGGCTATGAGGGTAAGATCTGTTCCTGGCCTTGGAGAGCTTTGGAAATCACTGGCTTGTAGATGACTGTCCCCTCCCCGTGTCTCTTCACATTGTCTTCTCTCTACGTGTGTCTGTCCCTGTGTCCAAATTTCCCATTTGTATAAGGACATCAGTCATGTGGGATTAGGAACTATCTTGATTACCTGTATAAAGACCCTGTCTCCAAATAAGGTCACATGCTGAGGTACTGGGGTTACAACTTCTACATATTAATATTTTGGGGGATGCAATTCCACCCATAACACTGGATATAAACCCAGATCAATTGGCCTCACACATTTAAGCATTGTACTTTAATGTTTCCTGACATTACAAAACTATACCATTCTATAGCCTTTTTGTAGGAGCAAATGTGAGGACCTAGAGTATAGCACTTGACCCCTTCCCATCCCCCAAAGCTACTTTTAGAGTGACTGAACAGTAATCTACCCTCTAAAAGTTCTTGGGGTGGAAAGTACTCCCCCAAAATGTTTATCTGAGCGTCTGGTTTCCAGCTTACTAGGCAATTTGGCATCGAGGACTTTTCTCATAAACATTTACAAATATTCTGCTCTGTAATGAAGTTAATCAGTAAGCCACTCAACCTCTGGCCTCTGTCACTCCTTACCTAGTCTCATTTTCAGTTGCTGTGAATAAACTAAGAATGGTAATGCAGTTTCAGGAGTTAGAAAATCCAGTTCAAATAAGTCCTTGCCACGGCTGCGCACCATCAGGATTTGTCATGGAAATGATGAGCGTGAAGCCTGCTAAAGGTAGGATACTGTTCACAGGTGCTCTGGTTCAGCTTCTGCAACTGGACTGAGGAAACGTGGAGGACTTTTGCTTGAGATGAGAGTAACAGGGCTCTATCAAAGATGGCTCAATGCGAACCAAAAGAGTGGCGTGAGAAGTTGGGTGGTGTGATTTTTATTGGGCTCTAGGTAGGTGACTATCTCACTGAAATGAAATTTCCCTAAAATTCTTCATTGGATATTATGTACAATTAGCACCATTCGTTCAAGTGAAACACTAGGTAATTCTAACATTAATGTCTGTGGACACTTGAAATAACATTTTAAAGTAGATTATTTAATGCAGTGTTTTAAAAATGGCAAGTCTGTAATCCCAGAGGGTCATGAAATCTATTTTGTGGCTTGTGACCAATATTTAAAACAAATAGAATAGAATAGACTAGGATAGAATAGGGTAGAATAGAGTAGAATAAAAATTTCATGCACCTCAAGGAGTAAAGATTAATGTTATTTCATAGAAATTTTGTTCAAATTACTTATACATATGTATAAGTGTGTACATGTGTCACGATATAAGATGTATTTCAAACTGTGGGTCGTGGTGAGAAAAATAAAAAGGTTAAGGAACACTTGTTTTCTGAACTAGGTTCACGGCAGATTTCTCCTAACAGTCTATGGAAAATCAGATGAGTAAAGAGTTTAGCTTTAGGCCTAAGCTATTTGTTTTCTCTGAAGTAAAATATAGATTAAAATTAAAACATACATTATAGTTAAGACAGTATAATATATTGCCTGTTTTAAAATTTTTCTCAAAACAGTATCACCTACCTTTTAAATTTCCAGATGAAAGAGAAGCTCTAATCAGTTTTCCAATAATTACAATTTTTAACATATTTTTGATCACAGACTTGGCAGCAAATTAGGTTGTTTAAATGTAATGTTTAATAGTGACTGACACTGTATTTAGAAATGGAAATTAGTTTGAAGGCTGGGGAAGCAAATTTTCCATCATTTCAATTTAACATTTATTAAACATTAACACTGTGTCAATTTGTATAACATGCCAGGACTAAAAAAAAATGGGAATAATATAATATAATATAATATATAATATTTCTCCCAAAGAGTTCACAGACTAACTACAACAATAGCAAAAATGTATTGAATGTTCATGTTGCATCAGATACTGTACAATTTATATTCTTTGTCTTAGCTTGCCTTCACTACAACCTGTTACCTAGGTACTATAGTATTCCAGCTTTATAGAGGAAGAAACAGAAGCTTAAAGAAGTTCAGTGTCCTTCCTTCCTAAGTTCATACATCTAGCAAGTTATGGCTGAAATGAATCCAGATTTGTCCATAAAGTAGAGCCCTTGTAACCAGTTCCACCTCGTAACCCATTCCACCTCAAGTTTAGTGTGGAAGATAAGCCTGTAACAAACAAAAATGATTGTAATGTGCTTCCAAGTGCCACAGAGGAGGTGTGTACAGAGGGTAGGAGAGATTATTTCTGCCTAGGGGAGCTGGGACCAGCCTCTCAGAGGAGGCGGTCAGCTGACAAGTCAAGGAGACACACCAACATCATAAAAGCCTGGCACCAGGAACAGCAAACAACTTCACCAATGAAGCTGTATTATCTAGTGAAGAAACCATGCATTAAGAAAAAACAGAAGGCAGAGAAGGTAATTTTCCATTCATGAAACATTTCAACAAACACTCATGAAATATTTACTATGGTCAGCATTGTGCCAAGGATGAAAAACTAGATAAAACCTGGAGCCTTTATCAGGCTCATTAGAAACTGTGAGATCGTGGGAAAGTGTCATTGTTACTACATGAACCTCATTCTCCCATTTGGGTACACAAACTCCTTAGAGCTGCACTGTCTAATATGGTAGTCATTAGCCAAATGCAGCTACCGTATTTGCCGGCATATAAGACGACTGGGCGTATAAGACGACCTCCTAACATTTCCACTCAAAATACAGAGTTTGTTATATACTCGCCGTATAAGACTACCCCCTCTTCCGCACACCTTCCACACACCAAATAAAAGGTAAAACAATATCAGATTTGATTTCAACATTTATATTTATATTCAAATGCTTATGACATGCAGGAAAACTGTCACAAGGCTGTATGTAATCAAACATATACATAAATCGCGATTCGCGATTTTGCGCTATCATACTGGGTGTATGGTCGGCTGTGTGCGATTTTGCGAGTGTGGTAAAATCGCATAACAGCAAAATTGCATAACAGCCGAGCATACACCCAGCAGCGCTGCTGATGCCTGAACGGTATGTGGAATGAAGTGGGCGGGCATCAGGAGGCCACTATGGCACGGGGCAAGCACTATGGGCAGTCTATCTGAAGTGTACCTAGCGTATAAGACGACCCCCCACTTGGAGGCATATTTTTCAGGGCCAAAAAATCATCTTATACGCCGGCAAATACGGTAGTTAATTTAAAATTTTAATTATTTAAAATTAAATATCATTTCTTTATTATCACTAGCCATGTTTCAAATGCTCAGTATTCCCTATGGTTTAGTGACTAATATGTTGGTAGGTACAGAAGTCTTCCATCATCTCAGAAAGTCCCCTTAGATGGTTACTCCTTTATAGAAACTGTTAAATGCTGGAGTCTCTCTACCCATAAGAATTTTTGCTTTCCTTTGCAGGGGGTCTCAGACTCCCCTAGAATCCATTCAAGTGTTCCCATTTAAGACCTCTTCCCTAAACTCTCATAGAGAATTTCCTGTCATAAAGGAACCCCAGTTCTTGATAGACTGATTCCAGGAATGCACTCATGATTCAAATTTTTATACAGTAAAACCTTGGATTGCGAGTAACATGGTTTGCAAGTGTTCCGCAAGATGAGCGAACATTTCTAATACATTTTAACGTGGTAATCAAGCGATGTCTTGCAATATAAGTAGTTTACTTCTGGGATGAATTATGCTTGCAAACCAAGGTATTACTGTATATATATATGTCCCTTTAAATTATATTAAAGTAGAAATAGATGTACCTTTTCAGAAAGCACACTCTAAAGTTGACCTACCTGTGGCCCCTCTGCATCTTATGCTCTATCACAAAATTCTGTCTTTGTTTACTTGGTTTTATTCCAGCCCTTGACATCCCCCTTACTTCCTCCCTCCACCCTCCACCCCCCCACACACACAAGAGAAAGACTGTGGCCTTTTCTATCTGTTTTCTATTTGTCTTATTCACTAGTTTATCCTCAGAGCCAAGCACAGTGTCTGGCAAATAGTAAGTGTTCAATACATACAAGTGAAACAGTATCCTATAATTTATGTCATCAAAGAGGACTGATAGGTATTAATAATTACTAATTAACTATCAGTTGACTGTCATTAGCATCAGGATTTTGTTAGGTTCTTTAAGACACAAACATGTAAGGCATTTAACTTATCAAATCTTTTTCTCAATGACTGTATTTTACACTCAAAACTACTTTATGAGGTAGCAAGGCTGAGTGCTAATAACCCCATTTTACGGAAGAAATCGAAATAGTAAAATGTTAAGCAGTTGTTCAAGGTCTCACAGTCAGTTCATGGCAGAAGTTGTTCTAGTCTCACCATTTTGGAATATGTTGGCCATTCTGGTGTTTTGATTGTTAAGTTGCCTGTATATTTATTGTCTCTACTCTATAGAGATGTGGTGGGGACACGGTGAAACACTAGAAGTAGATGTGCTTTGGAAAAAGAGACTATTTAATAATACTGTGTACTGATCTCATATTCTTATCACGTTGTTATTTTCATGTAATAGAATTGATGTCTTTGTGAAAGCTTTCTATTTGAACCAAGATGATAGTGATATAATATTGATACCATGATCTGACTTGAGTTGGGACTCCATTGTGTCTCTTGATTATTAAAAGCTTTGTTTTGTTGAAATAATGCTCAGAAACCTTGGAATTGTCATGTGAGGAGAAAAAAACACACACATTTTTTTTGGATTCTACAGAATCCAGATTCTGTCACTAATTGATTGTTTGACCTCAGGCAAGTTGCTTAACCTTATTGGACCTATAGGCAGAGAGAAAGTGGGGCTGAGGGTGGGGATGGGGAGTTGAGTGGGGGAAAGATGGGTTGGAAGATAAAATCTAGATATAAATGCAAGTGAAACTAATGTTTTCAATGTCTTTTATTTCTTTTCAATCCTATTTACTCCAGAAATTTTAGTCATAGTTTGTTATTAAATAGATTAAGATTTTACTTATATTATACCTTTTCTTTTTTCTGTAATAATCCATATTTTTATATTCTTTAGTGAACATTTTGTGGTCATTAGACAAATCTTTTTGTCCACCACATATTCTGATTCAGTGCTGGTTTTATATGGATAAGTTGAGCATGAAAGAGAGGAAATTGATATTTGCACAGATATTATATACTTTGTACCCTGTCAACCATTTCCTGGGTTAATGCAGAAAGCATTTTTTTTCAACGAACATTACATGTGCATATGCCCCATTTTGCCATTGTCAAAAAGTCCTGAATTCTAATGCCTACAGATTATTAGTCATATATTTATAGATATTTTAAATATAAAGCAGAACTATAAGAGCATCTAATATGCAGTCTTCTTTTCAGATGAACAAAGGTTGGCCCAGGCAGGGCAGGTAAGTACCACATAACTAGGCTCAGAGCCAGGACTCCCAGGGTCTTAGAGTCAGTGAAGATTCCCCAAGAGAAACTATGCTTAAAGAAAAATTTAGAGATAAGTAGACCTTAGTGAGAGGAAGCTCTCGGAGGGGACAGCTATGTTGAGGAGAGTCCCAGGCTCAGGAAGTAGCACGTAGGGGAAGGTCCTGAGTCTGGAAGCAGCAAGGCACATTCAAGGAATAAAGACGTTAAAACATGGGCAATGGCTGGAAAAGAAAGATAGGATCATGCAGAGGTAGGATCACATAGGCAGGCCTAGTAGTAGGCTACCTGCAAGCAGAGGCGTTGAAGAGACAAAGGAACGCACGTACAGGGAGAGGAAGAGAAATGCTTCACTGTCATGCTTCAAAGCATCACACATCTGAAATTATCCCAGAGAGCAACATTTCAGCAATGGGCTTTGAAGTCAGACTCAAAGATTGAAGAGTTCAATCTCAGTTGTAACGTAGGGAGGAGTAAAGTTGCCTAACTCCTCTGTGCTTTGGACTACTCATTTATAAGTGGGGATACTAATGTTATTGCTTCATAGGATTTTGTGAGAATATACAGGTGTCTGGCACTAGGAAGAACTCTATAATGAACTTTTCTAACAGTAATTGTATCAAACATCTTCTGAACACTGGCAAGAGCATTATATATGTTTAGATTAATAGATCCACAACCTGAAATTGACAATTCCAAATTTCCAAAACTCTGAAAATGAAGCCTTTTTTCAAAAGTTTGGCACAAACTTCTTTGGTGGCAAAACCTGACTAGAAGGAATGTGTGGATATTTATAGCCTTTATTTATTCCTCTGAGTATGAATATTCATACATTGCATTGTAGAAACTATTGCTGCTTGATTCTGGGTTCTGTCTCAGACCATGTGGGAGAAAAAGTGCTGTAGTCTGTTCTAAAATCCAAAAACTCTGAATTTCAACACACAAAGTGACCCGAAGGGTTTCAGAGGAAGACCTGTGGATCTGTGTTATCTCATTCAATCCTTAGCATAACACTTGATATAGATATTTTCATTTCAAGCTTGTTGCTGTAAGAACGGGGTTATCAGTAATTTAAGAAATTTGCTCAACGTCTCATTGTTTATAGAGGGGGAGTTGCAATCTTGGTCTAGGATTACCTGCCTATGCTTTGAAGAGTCAGACACATTTGCAGACCCTCCTATATCTTATTTATGTCTGTGAAAATTTTAGTGTTTTGTATAATTTAAATATTGTACAAAAAATTGCTATTTTCTAAATAGCTGTAGTTTATGTTTCTAGGAAATAGGATCATTTTCACAACCTGAATATTTTCTATACCTAGAGGTTTCATAGATAAGGGGCTCATTTCATAATAGTAGCAGACGTAATAGCATTTAGCAAAGTGCTTGAATTTTGCATGCATTACCTCATTTAATCCTCACACCTAATGAGGCAGGTATTATACCCTGTCTTATGAAGACAAAACTGAGACATAAAGATGTTAAGTAAAAGGTGAAAGATTTATGCAATCTGAAGAGAAAATGGTGATGGAAGGAGAACTGACTCTGGGTGCTAGACACACAATGCAATATATAGATGATGTATTATAGAATTGTACACTTGAAACCTATATAATTTTATTAGCCAATGTCACCCCAATAAATTTAATAAAAATTTTTTAAAAGGATAAGTAAATCACCAACACACACAGAATAGAGCTAGGATTTGAACCCAGGTAGACTAATTCCAGGCACTACATTTTTCTTTAAATCTTCTTCTTTGTTTTATAAAAATTAAAATAATATGTATACATAGCAAAAATTACAAACAATAAAAAGACTGTAATCTTCCACTCCAGAATACAATGCCACACTCTCACATTCAATAGTCACCATCATCCAGTTCCTTTTGTATTGAGCAAAAAATTGCCTGATTGCCCCTCTCTCTCTCTCTCTCTCTCTCTCTCTCTCTCTCTCTCTCTCTCTCTCTCACAGACACACACACACACACACACACAGAGTTTATGTATGTATGTATGTATGTATGTATTTATTTTTAAAGTTGTTTTTTGTTGGGGAATCAGGGAAGGGGAACAGACAAGTTGCTGTCCTTTTGTTCTTCAGTCTAGTTGTGGAGGACATTGCTTCACTGGCCCATGTTGGTATTATCATAGCGCTCTTCCCAGATGAGGCAGATCAGTCGCTGGCCTCTGGAAGGCTGCTCAGGGCACCTCTTGGCAGCTCACGCTGGCTGCTGGCCATTCACAGTAGCTCACAGAAGCTCACTGCAGCCCCACTGCAGCCTACGCTGTCGCTGGCGACTCAAGGCAGCTCAGCTCCAGGTCGAGATGTTGTTCAGCATCTTAGCTGTAGAGGGCAGTGTCACTAGCCCTCGTGGGATCTGAACTGGGGCCCTGATGCTCAGAGCTGGCGTCCCAAACCAAGTCTTAACCAACGTGCCACTCGGCTGGCCCCACGCAGTTTTTTTAATACACAAATAGATACATTATTCTATAGCTTAGTTGTTTTTTTTTTTTTTTGTAAATAGCAACAGATTGTAGGAACCTTTCCATAACATCTTATTATTTTTTCACATCTTCATAGCATTTCAGTGTATGGATATAATATAATTTGTTTAATCAGACTCCTATTGATGGATATTTAAATTATTTTCAATTTATGGTTCTTACAAATGTTGCAAATAAACATCTTTACACAATCATTTTTTTTCATACAGATGCAAGCATATCTTTAAAATAAATTTTCTAGCAGTAGATTGTTGGGTTAAAAGATTATTTGAATTTAAATGCTGAAAGAAATGTACTGATAAATTGCCCTCCAAGAATCTTGCTTTCCCAAGAACGTGTATTGTCAAACTTTTTTAACCTTTATGCATTTAAGGATGAAAACTGTGATATTTTCTATTGTTATTTCGATTTAAATTTAATTATTGGCAAGGATGAGCACATTTTTATATGTTTATAACACACTTAGGTTTGTTTTTCTAAAAACTGTCTTTGTCTTTTTTTCCCCCTCCATGGAATGTTGAATGTTTTCCATGTTGAATTTTTTTAACATAATATTTCATTTTCGTTTTTTTTAAACATCCCTGCTTGTGTTTCTTTTTTCTTCCTTTTTAAAAAAATTTTTTAAATTAAATTTATTGGGGTGACAATGGTTAGTAAAATTACATAGGTTTCAAGTGTACAATTTTGTAATACATCATCTATATATCACATTGTGTGTTCACCACCCAGAGTCAGTTCTGTCATTGCCATATATTTGACCACTTTTTTCCCTTGATGAATGTTATCTTATTGGTTTACAAGGGCTCTTCACATATTAATGATATGTGTATTTAGTCTGTCCTTTATGTTGTAGATATTTTTCTGAGCTTTTAATTTAGTTATTTAATCCTTTATGGGGACTTTTATGATGGAAAAAAAGTTGTTAATTTTTATATAGTTAAATATTTCAGTCTTGTCTTACAGCCCACACTCCTAACCATATGCTCAAACTGCCTCTCCAGTTTGCAAAATGATGACGTTAATTCCAGTTTTGTTGTCGCTTTTGTTCAGGTGTACTAACAGAACAAGCAGCAGGTACTCTGGGACAGAATCTTGAAGTGGAACCATACTCACAATACAACAATGTTCAGTTTCCCCAAGTTCAACCACAGATTTCCTCATCATCCTATTATTCCAACTTGGGTTTCTACCCCCAGCAGCCTGAAGAATGGTACTCTCCTGGAATATATGAACTCAGGCGAATGCCAGCTGAAACCCTCTACCAGGGACAGACTGAGGTAACAGAGATTCCTGTAACAAAGAAGGCCCGAATGGGCGCGTCCGCAGGGAGAATAAAAGGGGATGAGCTGTGTGTTGTTTGTGGAGACAGAGCATCTGGATACCATTATAATGCACTGACCTGTGAGGGATGCAAAGGTAAGTGCCTTTTGGTTGGCAATTTTCTCCTCGTTAAGGTTTTACTATGTTGGTTGTTGAAATCTCTTAAAATGGATTCATTTTTTGTTTCAGGTAACTTCCCGTTTTCTCCTCTTTTGCTTCTACCTCTTCCTATCCCCTCACCTTTGTTGGGGTGTCGTAGATCTCTAGGAAAAGCCTGTAAGAATATTTAGTTTAGATATAAGTGACATTTTGCCTACGCACAACCTTGCAAGGAGTTAAAAGAAATTTATGATTGTGGATTTTATTTATCTTTCTTGTTTTTGTAAAAGAAAGAGAAACTTGAACTTATCTCTTTTAAAATTAAGGTCAAGGAGACTAGAACTTTATTCAGTAGATATTTTAAAATATATTTTCATGTACTTTAGTTAATTGAGATAAAATAGAGAAAGAAAAACAGAGGGAAAGAAAGAAAGAAATGGTAATAGCTTATATTCAACACCATTTAATTTAGTAGGAACATAGATCTGTGAGAGATGCTGTGGGAGAATCAATGAAGTTGCAATCCACTTAGAATGGATTAACTATATAACATATAAAATATGAAAATGACTCAGTATAACTTCCTACATGATAACTCCCCCAATGAGGGCACAGACAATAAGTTTGTAAAATTTCAGAAGAAAGGACAGAGTGGATGAGTAGGTTAACCTATTTATCTGTGTCTTTCTTCATTCAGTAAATGTTTATGGAATACTTACCATGTGCTAGGCGCCGTGCTAGCTTTTACGACATTGAAAGCTGAATAAGAACTGCCCTTGAGCAGAATCTATTGAATGGTGTGCCAAATTCAGGTTCCCAGATGCCAGCGATTGCCATAAAAATAAACAGCCACGTAAGAATGGCTCAAGGACGTTTGAAACCTTTTGAAAGTTCAAATGATCAGATTGTGTAAAACTACATCAGTCACCTCTTAAAAACTTGGTATGATTTCATTAGGTTAAAAAAATATATAGTGTTTATGCCCCAAATTTAAAAATTAAAACAGATCTATAAAGAAAATTTAAAAGATCTCATTTATGGCCTCCAAAATATCTGTATTATTTTTGTAGAGAGTCAAGTTTTAATAGGTAAAAAGAGAACTTACAAATTCTTTGAAGTCATAGATTATGTCTTCTTCAGCTGTTACTCTTCATAGAATTCAACACAGTGTCTGTTAATTTTAAATAATAGGTAATTAATTATGGAATAAATGTTTTTTGAATGACATAATGAAAATCCATGTTCATCGCTGGTACTTGGTATATGTAACTCTATTTTGTAAAAATACATTCAAAGTCTTTTACTGTACTTAATTCTTCTGTACCTCCAAATGATAAAACTAAATATTATACTTCCACCCCCCCCCCATTATTTAGTGACAATTTTTCCTTGAGCAGTCAGAGTTATGGAGATGAAAATCTGCTTATATTACAGTTTAAAAAAAAGAATTGAACTAAAGAAGGGAGGGATGGCAAATTTGTTAGAAAAATAAAATAATTTCAAAATGACTAGCCTGAAAGTTGGATTAAAATAAAAACAAAATTCTACACATTGGTTTGAAAAATCAACTGCTGACCTACATAAAAAAGAAAGAGCTTTGTAGTGGCTCTAGTTAAAAAATGGCGGGTCTGTTACTCTGGAGGGCAAATAAAGACCAAAAGATAAGTAGACAGAATGGCATATTTGGGGCATAATTCAAGAAATAATTTTCTAACACTAACAAGAAGACTTCCAACAATGAGATTGGCTTTCTGCCTCAGGTGATAATGAACTCCTCATCATTATAGAAATTCAACAAGAGGTTAGATGGTCAGGCTTGAGTCCTCATACGGGAAGTTTCTACCTTGTATGGTAAATTGTATTATTTGGCTTCTGAGGTTCTTCTTTAAATCTTCTGAATCTAGCATACCACAGTTTATAATGTTCTAATTATTTCATACCTGTTTGTCCTGTCTTCTGGCCTAGTTTGTAAATTTCATAAGTCAGAAAATATCTATAGGTCATCTCACCCTTCCGATTGCTTTGAATTGATCAAAGGGAAGGTTAGACCAGGGTTTCTGAAGCACAATGCTATTGACATTTGGGGCCAGATAACTCTTTGCTATGGGGACATGTCTTATATACATTATGGGATGTTTAGCAGCATCCCTGGCTTTTCCTCACTAGATGCCAATAGCAGCCCCCTAGTTGTGAGAACCAAAAATGTCAGCAGATGTTGCTAAATGTTCCCTGAGGAGCCAAATCACCCCATTGAGGACCACTGGGATCGACCGTTCAGTTAAAAGCACTATTATAATATAGAGTTTGTCAAACTTAGATTACATATGGAGCTTTCTTGAAGTGAGCCATGTTTCTAATGTTGATTTAAATTGCTTTTATTAAATTCCTTATGTTAATTTTTAATACAATAAGATTTCTATACAACAAAAGAACAAAAACCAATTTACAAAATTAAATACAAACAAAAATATGAAATCAATCAAATAACAGACTGTTTAGATTATGTGGTTTTGTTGCCCAAATTGTTATGAAAGCACAGGTTCATTAGAATTTAGTATATCTATACCACACATCACATGAGGCCTCAGTCCCCACTGCTTTTCTCTGCTCAAACAATTCGTTCATCCAAACCTTGGTTTACTTAGAGCTCCATTTGGTCATCCCTGAGCTGAGTACATCCCATGCATAGTAAGTTAACCTTTGCCACATTTTCATAGCTCTGCACAAATAAATTGCACCCCTTACTGTTAATGAGATCATGGATACAAACAAAAATGAGGGCATTTTAGTTTGAAGGGCAGTATAAGATGGTCATAGAAATGATCCAGAGAATGCTATTATTAATTTTTAAAGACATCCATAAAATCAAAATATAGAAATAAATTTATGTGCAAAGGACTTAGAAAAATGTCTGGTGTATAGTCAAAACTTAGTAAATGCCTATCGCTATTATTGTTGTGGTCTTAGAATATATTAACATAGAGTACAGCGGCAGTGTGAATATTTTCTGCTTATCGTGATAAATATTGATGCCCAACTCATTATCATTTATTTGGAAGGATTATTCCATTTGATAGCCATTCTTGACGGAAAGCTTCTCCAACTTGTCTGTGTAAACCCGTGCTACTCAAAGTGTGGTCCTTCGTCCAGAAGTACCAGTTCAGCATCACTTGGGAAGCTGTGAGAAATGTGAATTTGAAGGCCCTGCCCCAGACCTACTGAATCAGAATTTTTGGGAATGGGGCCCAAGAATCTGTGGTTTAACAAGGCCTCCTTTCTAAAGTTCGAGAACTACTGATGCAAATCACATCTCAAAGTCAACTGAGGTGACTCATCTGGCCAAACAGCTTGGTTGTGCACTGTGATTGTGAAATTTTCAAGGGTGGGGATGCCACTCTCCATGAGGTCATCACAAGGACAATTCGATAGATAAAAATGTAGACTAGAAGCCTGGACTAGAAACACACCAAGCCTAATCTAAGTCATGTTTCCTGCTTGGAGAGACATAGAAAAGAAGAACATGCACAGCTTATTCTGAAAATCTGGATTCAAAAGAAAAATCCCATTATAAATACTTTGGACCCCACAAATTTCAGTGCCAATGATATGCCAATACTACAAACATTTTCTCAGGTCTTTATAGCAGCTGTGGAAAATAGGTATTACTGTGCCTATTTGAGAGGTGAGGAATAGCGTACCGTTCCAAAAGGAAGCTGAGATTTGGAGGCCAGTGCTAATAGCTTAGGTGATGTATTTACTACACTTCAGTAGTAAACGTATTAATTCTCCATATCCCCATTGTATAGATGAAGAAAGTGAGGCCCACCAGGTTACGATGACTTTTATTGCTTCCCACTAAGTGATCATTCTACTCTTTAAGCTATTTGTTTAAGGCTGATATTGACTGCCTTGATGACCAAAGGAAGAAAATCAAGTGCTTATTTGGGTGTTAAGGTATCAGTATTGTCCAAGACACGGGAACAGTTATCAGTATCAGTATTGTCCAAGCTGGCTTACCTCCTCATAGGTGAAGGTTGTAGGGAACCCTTGTCCTTCTGAGAAGAATTCAGGAAGGAGGCAGTGTGAATAAAGAAAGACCCGTGTGCTGAGGACAACCCCAAAAAACACCAACTTTAAAAGCAGGCAGGGAAGAGAAGCCCATAAAGAATATGGAATAGAAGTCAGAAATACAAGGCACCCAGGGAAGTTCAAGGTCACAGGAGACAAGGGGACAGAAAAGTGGTCAAAAGAGAACCATTGCTTGTCGTTTAGGAAGAAAAAGCTGAATCTGGAATTAGATAAAATTTTAAGAGCAGAGGAAGACAGAGCTTTTTCACTGATTTTGATCTGAAACTTTGCCTCTATGGTGGCAGCTAAAGGCCCAGAGCGCGAGGAAGCAGATGAGGTGGAGCCAGGCAGAGCCCATGTTCTTCTGTACCAGGGGCTGGCAATTGTTTTCTGTGAAGAAACAGATAGTAAACATTTTAGGTGCTAATCCATAGCAGTCTGTTTTAATTATGCAACTCTGCAAACACAGCCGTGCAAAGAAGGAGCATGCATGGCTGTGGCTTTACTTAACCTTGACAATTTTACAACTTAAGATAAAACAAAAACAAAAACAGGCAACGGCTGAATTTGACTCGTGGGCCTAGCTGTCATTCATTTGCTGACCCCTGTTTTAGAGCAATGACTCTTAAGGGTCAGTGTCACAATTAGCTGGGAGCTGTGCAGTGGGAGAACGCAACACTCAGGGCCTGTGTGCAGGAAATGTAACCTAACTCTGTATAACTGGATTTAATTCAAAAGTCCTGGTGGGAACTTTATTTCATTCAAATCAAGATTATTCTACTCCCCTCCCAAAAAAGAGAAAAAAACCCCAAATGGAAAAACCTTGTTCTGGGGTTTTGTCTAAATTCCAGGATTATGCAATCTTGTGGATGGGTTGGGCGCTGGCCATTGGGCATGGGGCTCTGGTTCTTGGTACTGTTAACAGTCTG